GTGTGTGTGTGTGTGTGTGTGTGTGTGTGTGTGTGTGTGTGTGTGTGTTACGGGGGAGGTGATAAAAGACCCCGGGCTGGATGGGTGAGACCCAATTGCAGGGGTACTACTTAGCACTGGAAGGAAACAGAGCACCTGGAAGGGAAGGGTATCCCAGTGTGCGAAGACCCCAGCTTAGCACTTGGATCTCTGAGTTCTCACAGGGCAGGTCCTGGCCTGGCAGCACCTGCTGCGCCCTAATCACCCTTGTATTCCTAACCGCTGAAAAGGACTGCTACCGAGCCCTGCAGGCGCTCTTTTCCAAGGAACTGAAGGAGGTAGGCTAAAAGGGTGGTAGAAGGGGGTGGGGACAGCAGAGAGACAGTCCCAGCCTTCCCCGCCCTCCACCCCCACCACAACTCAGCAGCCGTCACGTGGTACCCAGAGTGGGAGGGGTGGGGGTAGAAGAGGCGAGACTTTTTTGGGTGCTCCGGATCGCCAGTAGTTCTTCAAGCCTCAGCAGCCAACTCCTCCAGAGGCGCTGCACTCCGCCCCGGGGAGCGGGAACCCGAGGAGCCTGGGACCAGTCTCTGGGAGCCCGGGGCGCGGGCGATGCGGGCGCCGCGGGCGACACCTGCGGCTCCTCTCGGTGGCAGCCGTCGCCTGGGCAGCAGCAGCAGCAGCAGCGCAAACCTCGGCAGCTACAGTCGCTGCGGCCCGGACAGCCTCCGCTGCTGTCGCCTCCGCTGCGGTCGCGGTCTCTGATGCTCCTGCCCGCTCCCGGCCCTGCCGATCCGGGAGGATGTGGGTCCTCGGCATCGCAGCAACTTTTTGCGGATTGTTCTGGCTTCCAGGTAAGAAGATGGAGAGGCCAGCAGCCTGGCTGTATACGCGCTCATGCCATCTCGCCGCCTGTGCCTGCTCTAACCCCCAGTGCGCCCAACTGGGGTCCGCGCAGCTGCGCTGGGGCTACCCAGCGGGAGTTTGGTGCTGGAAACTGAGACCCAGAGGCGCCAGACTGGGACTCTCTCCAAGTCCCGCGCTGCAGGAGAGCGGCAGATTGGCGCGACTCTCAGCTACAGCTGCTTGGGGTGCACAGTCGGGGATGCAGAGCTGGGAGTGGGGAGGGTCTTTGAGCTCAGCGAGAGGGAAAAAGGGGCTACAAACCTCCAACCATCTCAAGTTACCAAGTGTTTGTGACCTCCCAAGGGAGCGGCAACGCGTACAGGTGAGCGACACACCGGACAACCTGACTGGGAGCGGGGGACGGCTATCCCAGTTTGAGTTATCTGTGGTTGGCTTACGATCTATGGGGTGCTAGGAAGGGAACACACTGGGAGCGCTGGGCATGGAGTCCAAAGAGAAGATCCCAGATCCGAGGAGAGCAATCGGGAAGATATGGTAAGGCTGGACCTAGCCCCTGATCATGGACTCTAAGCTATCAGAGTTTGTTTTTTGTTTTGGGTTTTTTTTTCCCAACAGACATGTTTTTTTAGGGGGACGAGGGTGAAGAGGTCAAGTCTAAAGCGGCTGTAGTGTAGCGGTCCCGGAGAGGGCGCACGCACACACACACACACACACACACACACACACACATACAATGCACGCACACACACCACATACTCTTCCAGCCTCCGCAGCTGCCCCACTCGCTGGTCACAGGAAGGGACTCTGAAAAGAAAGACTAAGGGCTCAGGGACACTTGATATCCAGTGTCAGGGTGATCGCTAGGAAGCCTCAGAGCCCCAGCTATGAATGCTGACTTCTAAGATTAAATAAATAAACCCGAAAAGGCATCAGCGAATGCAATTATGAATGGTGCCAAAATAGTAATTAACCAATTTGTAACCAATTAGCAATTAGGCTCAGACAGGAGATGAAGCTTGTACTCGGCTACTTAGATCTAGGGTTTGAACTCTCACCCTTCCCTTTGCAACAACTTGCAGAAAGGCTTGAGGGGGTGTTACAGGAGCTGTTTGTGTCTAGAGATGGAATTTAGGGTCTCTGACAGGGCTTTATCATGCTAGACCCTGGGAAACCGGTGCCGCCGCCCCCTGCCGGCTTCAGGCATTGCCGGCCCTGCTGAAGATCCGGATGCAGAAGCCAAAAGCCCTTGTTGTCTGGGGCTGTACACGGTGATACAGGCCAGCCAGGGTGGGCTGTATGCAAGCCAGATCTTAACTAGGGCTTCTGAACCCCACTTCATCTGTCCCACAGGGTTGGCGCTGCAAATTCAGTGCTACCAGTGTGAAGAATTCCAACTGAACAACGACTGCTCGTCCCCTGAGTTCATCGTAAATTGCACCGTGAACGTTCAAGACATGTGTCAGAAAGAAGTGATGGAGCAAAGTGCTGGTAAGCTGGACCGCTCTTCCCCCACCAAGCGCCATCTAGGACCGGGGATGGAGGGTGTTAAATTACAGGAAAAGACACTGACTGACTTAACATATATGTGTGTGTGAGCTTGTGTGTGTGCACACACACACACACACAGACACACACACAGATACCACACATACACACACTGATTAGCAGCACAGATTTACTTTATACGGTTTGGTTCTAAAAAAACGAAGAGTTGGAAGTTACTTTAACCTCATTAGAGTTAATTACCAAGGCTTCTCCCCAAGGGATTCCAGAGGGGCAGTCATTGTAAATCAGTAGCTTTCTCTCTCTCGCTCGCTCTCTCTCTCACTCGCTCTCTCTCTCTCTTACTTCTTTTTCCTTCCTGGACTAAAAAGCTGATCAGGATGGTAAAAAACAAAATACACCAAGAACTTGTTCCAGCTCCAGCAGCTAGACAGTAGCTTGTGAGCGATGTCAGCCTGAAATATGAAGCTACTTGAAGTTCCCAGAGGTCAGAACTTGAAAAATGTGTTTTGTCATAGCGGCACACCATATTTCTTTGAAGAACACTATAGGATCTTTATTTAATTTTAGAACCAATGCATCAAATTCCAGGCACAAATTGCCAAGATCTTTCCCAGGAAGAATTACCCCCCACACACACACACACAATCCCACCAGCATCTTAGCTATCAGCTATCAGAATAAATTTTCTGGATGTTGTGCAGTTGAAGAAGGGAGTTAGATGGAACAGATGTCACTCTAGCTAATAAGTCTTTTGAAAGGTGGAATCCCACCCACCCCAGAGCTAGAATTAAAAGCTCACCCCAAGATGGAACCAGAACTTTAAGAAAATAAATGAAGCTCTTGCTTTGACTCCAAGGTCAAAAAGGGACTTCTCCATTTAAAGACTGTTGAAAAGGAAGGGAATGCCATCTTGGGATAGGTTCCATTCAGTGAGCCTTGTTCTTTTTTAGTCCAACAAGGTGCCCACAGGGCTCCATGGGGTGATTAGAATAATTGATTTACCTAACCGTCTGGCAAAACAATGCTCAGATGTTAGCACTGAAGACAGCACCTTGGCATAGCAGTTTCCTCGTGGGTAGGGTTGGAAGGTATCTTGTTAATGTCTTAGTTGCTTGGAGAGCTTATTTGCCAACTCTTCATAAGACTGGGCTGTGGTATGGGAGTGTTATTTTTTCATATGTCTATGTATGTGTAGTAATCATGTATATGTGCATACACATTCACGTTTGTTGCTACATAGGTATATATATGTAGGTGTACATCCACACTTTTTTTGGTATGCTATGTGTAGATGGTGTTCATGCCTATGTGGATACTTATTTGCATGGGTGGCAACAAGAGGTTGCCATCCCTGTCTTCCTTGATCATGCTTTATTTTATGTATTGAGGCAGAATCTTTTACTTGAACCCAGAACTCACCAATTCTAATGAGACCACCTGCTCCAAAGATCCCAATTCTCTGGCTGCTAGAGCCGGGGCTTCAAGCAGGCATCTCATTTGCCCTGCTGACCCTTATTTATATGTGTGCTTGGGATCCGAACTCTAGTTCTCACACTTGCGTGGCAGGCACTTCATCTGCTGAGCCACCTCCCTAAACCCTTTGTGTATGGCTTTATAGGCTGTTCTTTGTAATACATTATTGACTCGAGTGTGGGCCCTTTGTACCAAGATTGCTCTTGTGAGAGAAGTCTAAGATACACTTACTCTCAAGAATTATGTTTTCTCTCCTCAAACCAGCGAGCATGGTTTTAGAATCTGGTATTCCTGCTATTACAAATAGTACGACAACACAAAAATTCATGATGATTCTGCAGCTAAGACGGATGTGAATTACTTTTTATGAGTGATATTCTTTGCACTGTATTTTACCTGAGTCTAACGTTTGTTGCTTTTCACGTATCTGCAGCCCTCTTCCTTGAAATAGGTTTGAGGCAGACATGATGGGAGGAGGTAGTAGCAGGCTTTAAGAACTCCCTCAGGATCCTCAAGGCCACTGCTTGTCAGGGCCTGTGCTTCACGTGCTGGAATGTGATTTAGAAAAGCAGTTGTCACCCCGAAGCATTCTCAGAAGGGGATGTCTATGTATACCTCCAAGATGGCAATCACACACTCGCTTTTTAGGGGCTATTTTTCATCTTGCTTCATCCTCTTCTGAAGTCCATACTATAGAAAAGTAGAACACACCTCATCACTTCCGTATTGCCCTCAGAAAGTTTCCAGTTGGTCCTGAAGAAAGTCCCGGGTTAGGTCGCTTGTTTTCGAGTGACACAGTCAAGTTGCTTCTTGTCTCAAAACAAGATGTCAGTGACCACAGGGTACAGGACATAGGCCACGGGTCCAAATGTGAAGAAAAATGAAGGTCAAGGCATGTATGTGTGTTTCTCAGCGTGTGTGTGGCATATGCATGTGTTTTGTGTGTATATATACAACACATGTACATATTCAAGGGTACACACACTCGTGAAGGGGCAAGTGGGAGCCAGCAGGACATCCACCACTATCTTGCTCCACTTTTTCCCTTAGGACAAGGTCGCTCACTGGGGAGCTAGTCTGGCAGCCAGCAAGCCCCAGAGATCCTCTTGTCTCAGTTCCCCATAGCACTTGGATTGTCAGCATATTTGACCATACCTAGCTTTTTTTATTTTTTATTTATTTATTTGGTGTGGGTGTAGGGATCTGAATTCGGATCTTCATGCCTGTGCAGTAAGCACTCTGACTAAACTCAAGTGTTCACAGCTGCAGCCTCAATCTTGATGTCTGAAAAAAAAAAAAAAAACAGAAGCGATTAATAAATCCAATGGGAAAACCGGTTATGGGGACTATCTCAGTGTTTGCTCGTCTATTTCCTCTTGCGGTAACAGCGTAGACTGGCAAAAGCGACTCAAGGGGGGAGTTTATTTTTAACTGGTAGTTCAAGGCACAGTCCAGTCGGTCATTGTCACAGCCGCAGGAGCTGGAGGGAGCTGGTCAGGCCACGCACATTCAAGAACAGGGCAATACTTGCTAATGCTCTAGTGTGCACTATTCTCCTTTATTACAATCCAGAAGTGCAGTCAGGGATGTTCACGACTAAGGTGATTCTGCCCATGTAAAGATACTTCCTGCAGCCGTACCCAGAGGCCCTGTCTGCTGAATGATTCTAGATTCTGTCAAGTTGATACTAACCATTGTAGGTTAGTATACTAGGTGTAAATGAATTCAAGGCATTCGTTGGAAGCCTGGCAAATGTGGTTACTGTTTCCATCGGTAGGGCTTGTTTACTTTTTATTTATTTATTATTTATTTATTTCCTCAACAGAAAGCAATATCTCGAGACTGATATCTTGAAGGCATTCCATATTAAATTTCATGTAATTGTTATAGACCAGTCACTTCGATTTCTTTTTTTTTGCCAACAAGGATGGAGAGCAACTTTGGTTGCTAAGTGATTGCAATATAATAAAATCGTGGCAGCCTGAGTTAACTTTCACTGCATGTACCGGGGTATCTGGCTCATCCCTTAGTACGAGCCTGTGGTGTCTCATGAAATGTGAGACTCTTCCTAATGTGAGCTCTCTTCATAATGACTGACTTCCTATGATTCAGCCAGCCTCCCTGAGATTCTATTGCTTTGTCAACTTCACACCCTCCACCCCAGAAAACAAACAGCACTTGTTAAGTGGCCGCATTAAGAATCAACGTCCAAATTGGTTCATAACGTCGACTGTGCTGAGACTCCTGGTGCACCAGAGCTGAAAAGGCCCAGGGTTTCTAACTTAAGAGCACATAGGTGTCTTCCTGGAGTTCTGTTGAACGTCACTTGACTGCCCCCTGAAGACGCTCATTCTGTGCCTCTGTGGTCTGAGCTCTTCCAGAGACACTGGCATGCTCCATATTGAGAGACTGATCTGGACTACCTTTTCTATGTTATAAAGATCTTTACAAAGTTAGATGTCTGGTCCTAGTCCACCGGGTCGCTGTCACTGTGTGGCTCTTGACATGAGCTTCCCTGGCCAAAGGCATTTGCTGCAATGTCACCCGCCAACATCTGACAGAGGGAAATGTACCATTGCGTACACCCAGGAAGATAGCTCGAGCAAGATCGTAAGGACTGAGATGATTGGTTTGTTTGTTTGTTTGTTTGTTTTATTGTTGTTTTTAAGACTGTTAAGTTCATCTGGTGGGCCAAGCAGACGGATCACAAAGTGAATACTGAAAGAATCAGAAAGTCAACATGGAAGGGTTTCAAACTTTTGAGTATCAAGTGGGCTGGCATTTTTCAATAGCTGTGGAAACACCAAGCCTTTAAACGGACTAAGAAACCTTAATGAACTAAGCAAACCTGATATTAGGCAGTAAAGAAAGACAGTTTCCCTGCCTGCCCCAGCCCCCATTACCAGCAATATGATGGGACCAAGTCTTCAGTCGCTATTTTCTGGCTTAAGTCTGCAAACCCAGCTCTTGGAAATTATGAAGAAGGTAAATTTAATTTCCACGGAGGTATACTTAAAATTAAGCTTTGCCTGTTCTTTCGAGAGGTGCTCCTATTAGGATCTGAGGCTATTTCTTGATGTTGTTTTGCTTCATTTCTGGAATAGTAAAGTGTGGACTGTGGGGAAGAGGTTTCCTTGTCCTTCTTAATTGATGGTTAAATGTTTGTATGAAAAATGACTCCGCTACCAGCTCTGCTCTTCATGGGCTGGTGTTTCTAAGCAGCGTCCTTGAGAATCACATTTATTTTGCTTATTTATCATTGCATTCCATAAAAATATTTCAAATATTGATTTTCATTTCAGAAGAGGAGCCTCCCCCCAACCTTTCAGTATGAATTTTTAAACCAGGATATAAAGAATACAAATTTGCATTTGTTTGACAGTGCAATCTTGTAATTAGAGTTTTTCCTCTTGACTAGATACCGTGAAAGGGGCATAATTTAATTTTTATAGACTAGCCAATTTCTGCCCTTCCTAAAATATAGCTCTGTCAGTAAGCAAAGTGTTACA